GCGGCAGGCGGCGGGCGCGGAGCAGCTGTCGGGTCTAAAGTTACGGTGGCGGCTGGGGGCGGGGAGCGAGGCCCGGAGCGGGACAGGGTCCCCGCGGGGGTGTCCTCTCTCGGGGTCCCCATGTTGTCCCATCCCGAAGGTCCCGAGGGGCGCAGGGCCGGACCCCGCCGGGCGGGGAGGATGCAGGACAGACCGGGGCTAAGAATAGCGCTGGGGTGGGAGCGGGAGGAAGGATGGGGCTTCCTCTGCGACGCCTCTTCTTCCTCCTACCCGGCTCTGCCAGGCAGCACGTGTGACACGGGGACACTCCGAGTGCCACCTGCCCCCCCCCACCCCGCGCTGTCCCCCTGTGTGACAGCCCCTGCCATGGGCAGTGTCCCCCCGGAGCACCCACCGTGCCCGCGGCCCCTACGAGTGCCACCCCCAGCGCTCCCCGCCGCTGTCACCCCCCGCTGCTGTCAGGCCCCATCACCGCTGTCACCCCCCGCCGCCGCCGCCGCGTTTCGTTGCACTTCACTTTTTAATTAACCTCGGGGCGCTGCCTCGCCGGGGTTAATGGCAGCGGTGACCCGCGCGGCCATCGATCCCCCGAGCCCTGCGCCGCGCTCGCAGCGACGGACGGGCCCCCTCGGGGTCCTGCGGGATGACAGGGGCGTGTGCCCCCCCCCTCCCCTTCAATCCCACGCATGGCAGAGTCCCGCAGGACCCCCGGGGTGCCCCCCACTCTGCTGCCAGCGCTGTGGGCACGCATTGCTCGAGGTGTCCCCAGCCAGGTTTAGGGGTGGTCCCGTAGTGGCGTTGGTGCCACGTCGTCGTCCCCCCCCTCATTGGGGACCCCCTCCCGGTTATTCAGCGCCCCCGTGGCCGTGCCAAAGGCGGGGTCCCGCCCCCCTGCAGCCGCCCCAGCCCCCTCGCTGCTCAGGTGCCCCTGTCACCCCTCCGCGCTTTAATCCGGGGCTCGTTCATCTTGGGCGGGGGCCGGGCTGTCAACGCCCAGACGGGCCATTTCCGAGCCGAGTCCCCCGCGCTCAGCCCTAATTGAATCCTCATGGCCCCGCCGCCGCCCCGGCCCCGCCGCGGCACCCGCCACCGTCCCGCTGCCCGCGGCAGGTCTCCCGGGGTCCCCGTGCCACGGGGAGCCTGGGGGTGCCCCACGCCGGGCACCGACCGGAGGCACTCGGAGACCCCCCACCCTCTCCAGCCGCCCCATCCCGGCTGCTGCCCCCCGTCCCCCGGCACAGAGACCCCCGCTCGGTGGGCAGCGGTCCGCGGACCCTCTCCACGGCTCTGCCCCGCGTCGGGGTGGGGATCCCACGCCCCCCGCCCCCCCCCAAACCCCCAGATCAACTCTGGACGGACCCCGACCCCATGGGGGTCCCAGCGGGTCCCTCTGCTGGGGCAGGCTTCGGGGAGTGCCCCCCGTCCCGGCCGTGCCGTGCGGGGGTCAGGGGGCGTGGGCGGCCCAGAGCCCGGCGGGGGGGCAGCGGCGTTTGCTGCAGCCGGAGCCTTTGAAATGCAACCCCCCCGCCCCCGCCCACGGCCCATTTGGCTGGAGTTTGGCCCAGGCACAAATGGAGGCCCCGGAGCGAGCAGGGGATTGCGGGGGGGCGCGGCAGCTGGGGCCGGGGCTGGCGGGACCCGCTGACCCCGGCCCGGCACTGGCACTCGTGGCCCCGCGTGTGTGCCATCCTGCACACGCGTGTGGCGGCTCTGCATGTGAGCTGCTATGTCCGTGAGCCCTGCACGCACACCTGGACACACCTGCACACGCCTCTGCACACCTGCACACAGCTGTGCCCGCACACACGGCTGCGAGGAGCCCGCTGGGGTGGTTGTGGCCACACAGACACACGCGTGTGGGAGCCGTGGAGGCGTGGGCAGGGCCCCGTGTGTCCCCAGCTCTGCGCTGTCCCCATGTCCGTATCCCCATCCCATCCCATCCCATCCCATCCCACCCCATCCCATTCCCCCTCGCTCCCCCCGTGCCGTGGCTGTGCTCAGAGCCCCGGAGCGCGGGGGGCGATGCCGCTCCTGTTAATGAATCGATGATTTGCCAACAGCCCCAGGGAGGGATCCCCGTCTCCCCTGGCTCCCCCGACTCCCGACACATCCATCCCCATTCACCGGAGCCAGGTGTAATCCCATTATTCCCGGCTCCGCCGAGGTCCCAGCCCACCACAGGGTCAGGATTTATTGCCAGTAATTGCTGGGGTCCCGTCCCCTGGCGCGGGGGGGCTCCCGGCACCCCCCCGGCGCTGCCGCCGCTCCTTACACTTTAATTCCGCACCGAGCTGTTCCCTTATTAAAGGAAAATTCATTTGCCAGCGATTTCCATGTGCCGGGGCCGCGCGGGGCCGAGGCCCTAATCGCGTTACAGAGCGCTGCGGCGCAATATTGGGATGGAGCCGATAAATAATGGATCAGGGCGGCGCGGGGCGGGGGAGGCGCGTTCCGGGGGCGCCGCACCCCGAATTGTGTTACCCCCGGCGCTGCGCCGGCACCCCAGCACCCTGCTCCTGACATCCCAGAGCCCTGGCACCCCAGCACCCTGCTCCTGACACCCCTGGCAGCCCTGCACCCTGCTCCTGACACCCCTGGCACCCCTGCACCCTGCTCCTGACACCCCACCTGGCACCCCAGCACCCTGCTCCTGACACCCCTGGCACCCCAGCACCCTACTCCTGACACCCCTGGCACCCCTGCACCCTGCTCCTGACACCCCTGGCACCCCAGCACCCCGCTCCTGACACCCCAGACCCCTGGCACCCCCAGCACTCCGCTCCCAGCCCCGGCTGGGGGAATACCCGGAGCTGCCGGTGCTTGGAGCCACGGCAGCCCCCGAGATGGGGGATGCTGGGTGGGGGGACTCGGCAGCAGCCCCAGCTCCAGCACGAACACCCCCACGGTGTCCCCTCACACGTGGATGACACAACCCCGCTCACATGTGCACACTCGTGAACACACACACACACACGCGTGTGCCCCGGTGCTGCTCACGGCGGGGATGGGGCCTGAGGGGCAGGGAGGTGGCTGGGACCCGAGGTCCCAGACCTCCAGGACACCCCCAGAGACCCCCAGGGACACCCCCGCGGTGGAGGAGTGGGACAAAGGCGGGGGCTGTCAGTGCCACACCGGGTGCGGTACCCTGGGGTGCCCTCAGCCCCACGCCCTGGACGTGCCCGTGCCCGTCCCCTCGGGCCACGGGCCAGCGCCGGGCACTCTCCCGGCTCCGCAGGAAGCTCCCGTGTTCCTGCGAAACCCCCGAGGGCTCGTTTTGTTCCCACCCTGTGGCCTGCTTTGGGGTGAAAAGCTTTTCCCATCCTGTGTTCCCGGCAGCTGGAGCCAGCACTTCCCACTCCGGGGGGAAGCCGGAGGATTTGGGCAGGGTTGGGGGGGCTCAGCCCACCCCAGAAATGCCCCAGCGGCCGCCTCGGGACACGAGTGGGGGCTCGGGGAGGGAAGGAGGTGCCAGCACCGTGACCTGGGAGCGCCCCTGGGCGCAGGGATTCACCCCAACTGCTGAAGAGCAGGGTGGGGACAACGGGGGGGTGATGAGAGGGTGCGAGGGTGACACCCCATCCATCAGGGTGAGCAGCAGTGCCGGGCTCCTGCAGATTCCCGGTGGGAGCGCTCCCACATTCCCAGCCCGGCATTCCCGGCTGCCGAGATCCCGGAGGAGCCGGAGCGTTCCAGAGGGGTTCGCCCAGCGGCTGGGGGGCTGATTCCGCAGCTCCCACCAGCACAGGAGCACGGAATCACCCCCAGGAGCGATTTCCCTAAAGCAGCACTGAGACCGCGGCCTCCCCATGGGGCTGGGACCCCCGGGAAGGGCTGGGACTCCTGGCGGGGGCTGCGACCCCCCATTCCCTGCTCACCGGGCGCCCAGGGCCCTGCGGCCGGCACGGTGGCCTCACTCCAGCGCTGCTGCTGGACGGGACTGGGCTCACGGGGGTCCATCCGGTGGGGGGTGGGAGTGGGGGTCCCAGCTCGGGATGGGCTCCATCCCCCGGTGAGAGCCGGCGGCACGTGCGGCCGCGGCGGCTCCGCCATCTCCCCGCGCCCTGCGGAGAGGACAAAAGCCGCGTGCGAGGAATCCGTGCAAACGCCGCCGTGCCCGGCACGCCGCCGTGCGAGGGGCCCCGTGTCCCTCTCCCAAACCGAGCCCCCTCCCCACCCCACCCCATCCCATCATCCCATT